TTTTCTAAATAAAATTTGGATTTGTTTCATAAATATTTTTATATTGTATTTTATTTAAATTTCGTTCGTTATTAATAAATATGTCCTCTCTCTTTATTTTTCATCTTAAATTTTCTAATTTTTCTATAGATTTTAGAAGTTTTTTCTTTAAAAATGGAGGTATATTAAAATATACTTAACAAAAAAATTAATTATTCTCAAATTTCATTATATTTAATACAAGCAAGCTCATGTCATTCATTATTGAAGTAAATATTTTGTTTGTATCAAACAAATAAGTGCATTTTTAACTATTTAAATAAATTTTTAATAAATAGATAGACACATTTTTAAATTAACAATAAGTAAGATATATTTTAAAAATTCATAAACTATGCATATTGTTTGATATATATTGAAATTTTAATAAATTTGTGATTAAACAAATATTCAAAATTTAATCTAATTTTTTTTTTGCTCTAAACATTTGTCTAAATTTCTTTTTATGAAATATTTATTCGTAGAGCCTATCAAAAATTAAAAAGACATTTAAATATAGTGAAATAATAATTAATAAGTTTTATTGATAATATAATCAAAAGTTAAAGTTGAAAATGAAAAAATGAGTTAGTATTTATATAAAAATATTTTTTTTATACTTATTAAGATACTTTGTTAATTTATACTTAATTATTTAGGTATTCTTACCTACTTAGTAAAAATAAATACTATTTCAATTTTTTGTTAATTTTAATAGAATTTTTTATTCAAAAATATAAGTTTTAGATGTAATTAATTTGTGTAATAAATAAAGAGTTTCAAAAATTGAATAAAAGATATTCAAATACTATTTCAATTTTTTGTTATAATTAAATTAGCTTTTTACTCAAAAATATAAATTAAAGATGTAATTAATATATGTATGTGTAATAAATAAAGAGTTTCAAAAATTGAATCAAAGATATTCAAATACTATTTGTTATAATTAAATTAGTTTTTTACTCAAACATATAAATTTAATATATGTGTAATAAATAAAGAGTTTCAAAAATTTCATTATTTTTTATTTTTTTTGCCTTATTTTAATTTCGCCTTATAGAAAAATGTTATTTTTTATTTTATTAATTGGACTATCTTTTTTAATTTTATTATCCTTTTTTCTTCATTTTAAAAATTATCTTTAATATATACTGCACTTGGTTTAATTTTTCACCTGCCTAAAATTAGTAGTAGTAGTAGTAGTAGTAGTAGTAGTAGTAGTAGTAGTAGTAGTAGTAGTAGTAGTAGTAGTAGTAGTAGTAGTAGTAGTAGTAGTAGTAGTAGTAGTAGTAGTAGTAGTAGTAGTAGTAGTAGTAGTAGTAGTAGTAGTAGTAGTAGTAGTAGTAGTAGTAGTAGTAGTAGTAGTAGTAGTAGTAGTAGTAGTAGTAGTAGTAGTAGTAGTAGTAGTAGTAGTAGTAGTAGTAGTAGTAGTAGTAGTAGTAGTAGTAGTAGTAGTAGTAGTAGTAGTAGTAGTAGTAGTAGTAGTAGTAGTAGTAGTAGTAGTAGTAGTAGTAGTAGTAGTAGTAGTAGTAGTAGTAGTAGTAGTAGTAGTAGTAGTAGTAGTAGTAGTAGTAGTAGTAGTAGTAGTAGTAGTAGTAGTAGTAGTAGTAGTAGTAGTAGTAGTAGTAGTAGTAGTAGTAGTAGTAGTAGTAGTAGTAGTAGTAGTAGTAGTAGTAGTAGTAGTAGTAGTAGCACCTGAAATATTTTATAAAAATATCCGATTATATAAAAAAATTGGTATTGAATTATCATAATAAAACAAAAACAAAATTATATAAAATATAAATTTGTATTTAATTAAATTAGAATATATATATTATTAAATAAAAGTATAATATAATGTTTTTTAATTACTAAATAAAT